TCCTTTCTTTCATACATTCACAAACCTAAAATAACGTTTCTTGATACCATTCTTTCCTCTCTACCTTATAAATTATAATTAAGTTAAATTCATATTAGAACAATTCCCTTAATAAATTAGATGTTAATGTACATCTCAACGATCTTTTCCTAATCTGACATTGCATTCTCACATTTCTACCTATGCAATGTATGGAATGAAGATTCTCTTCAGATCCTCTTCGTGAGGATCCTAGGGATCTTCACATCGTGTCCTTCCATCGTACATCGTTTAGTTAGAAATCATTTTAAATATTTTTATTTAAAATTAAACACAAATAATACTTGACGAAAATTGGCCGCATGATGTACAATGAATGGATCCCCAAGATCCTCACAAAGAGGATTCGAAGAGGATCCTCATTTCAATGTATGATGTACATATGAAAGCATTTTCCTGTTTCGGATTCGCGAAACTTTCAACGTACAATTTTCTTTCACCCGACCATTTTATCTTTCAAAATTCAAGAGATAATTTTTTGTTAGACAAACTACTTTTATTATTATATGAAGGTTTTTACTTAATAGAGGTACTTAATAAAGGCATTGAGCCCTTGCATGACAGTATGAGTTCGAACTCCGTCGGTAGCTAATATAACATCTAACAAAATCTATTATTTGACAAAAAAAAAAAAAAGAAAAAAAAAACTTGGTTATTCATAATTAATTAAAGTTGTATAGTTACAAAGTACTACACTAATAGCATCATTAGCAAGTCAATTTCCAAGATGTAAACATTGAAAAATGATAGAGACCTAGTCTAGCTGGGGCATGTATATAGTGGTTAAGACGATACGTAAAAGAGTCATCTTGAAGGTTGTAATGTCAATTACAATATGGAGACAACTCTAATTTCTTAATGCGGGACTTAAAACAACTGATAAATTATTAGGATAATGTGGAGCCTAGACGTCATAAATTATCACACAATGAGTTTAATGAGCAATCCGTTTATTTTGATGTCACATTAATAAGGTGGTGATTTTGGCCTTGGTAGTTTAGATGGTGGTGTTGGTATTAATGATGATATCAAAATAAACGGGATGATTGAATCACCCATTAAACTTATTGAGTGATAATTTGTCAAGTCCAATAAATGCTATGACAGCCACTTAGTACTACAATCAAGTGGTATTCCTCTTCATTTGTAAATAAGAGGTCTTAGGTTCGATTCTTGTCAAATGTGAATTTGAATTACATTATTGCTACCTCATTGTGAGGCTAAGCCCACCCCTCCTCCCCCTTCATGTAGATAATATCGTTTGTTCAAAATAAATAAATAAAGCTACGATGAGCCCATTGAAAATGAAATTATTTTGTGACTAGATATAAGTTATTATGATGTAGTGTATCAGTGAAGAAAGTTAAGGTTCTACTATAAAATCAATTGACAATATAGAAAATAGCCAAACTTACTATAAGCCCATGCAAGCCCCTCCTTCCATCAATGTGAGATTCATTCTCAACAACTAGTATATAGATGCTTTACTATATTACATTGGTAGAATTTCTGTTTGCTCCTCATGATTGTAATAGGATAGCGCATCTAGTGACTTCTTTTGTTTCAAAAAATGGTGGCCTTCATAGATTAGGTTATTTTGAGCCAGAGTGGTTATTCAACACTCTAGTTTCTAATGTAAACGTTTCTATTTGTATTTAATCAAATTTTCTATTGTTTGACAATATATATATATATATATATTGTTAGAATCTCAAATTATGTGATTAATAGGTTGGATGAGAGCTAAGAGCTTGTGTGAGAAGATAAATGAGCTTTGGCTTAGGGTTAGCCAAGCCATATAGTAAGAAGATACGAGAGGAAGCTGGGGAGGGAGCTAACAAAACAAATAGTAAAAAGGGTTGGAAGGAAGGAAGGTCAAAACCTACAGCCATAAGTCACGAACAACCAGCACACGCACATGCTGATGGAAGTACCTGATACGAGTGTGAGTGACCTTAATTTTCCTTTTTTTTTTTTTATTTTATCAATTATTATTTATGGATTTACTAGTATTTTAGTTTTTGTTTGTGTCCGTATGTCATTTAAAAGGTTGAAAGGAGTGAATGCAATTAATGAAATTGGCTCCAGGCTTTTCGAATTATTTATTAATAATTTACCAAATAAAGCCCTGCTGCATCTGCACTGCATGGCTTAAATATCCACACACGTTCTTTCTCTGGGTCAAATACCTAATCATTTTACTCTCTTGTGGACTTGATAGGAAATAAACAAGACCATCGCATGTCGAGGCACTCAATTCTTTGTCCTTGATACTTACTTTCTAATTAAAATTTGCACCTCAATTATTATTTTTCTTTTCTTATAGGACACCTAATTATTATTGATATTAATATGAAAATAGAAAAGGGTTTATTTGAAAGTTATGGTTGCTTTTAGTTCTATTAAAAATGAAATAAACAAAGGAAAAGTATAAAAAAAAAAAAAAAAAAAAAAAAATCTCCTACCCTCTATTACTACAACTTTTGAAGGACAGAAGGAAAGTGGAGTTTGCAAGGGAGTAAGGGAAACCCCAAATTGCTAAGCAACAAGGTAAGCTCATGCTTTGGGACCTACACCCTCTGGTTTAATATTGGATCTTACTGTTGGTAAAGGGTTAGGGTTACAAAGAAATTTATTGTTTGGAAAGGTATCTCAAACCAATAACGCAATGTTATGTGATAATGTGAACAACCGCACCTCCTTCCATGTTCTCCTCAAGCGCAACTTCTTCAATTCATTCAAACTATTCAAAAAACATTATGATTTCACTTACCTGTGTGAAAAAATGATGGTGGAACAATTTCTCTTAATAAGTGCATATTTTTATCTCATGTAAATATTTTGGTACAAAATTACTATTTTGGCCTTCTTATGTAAATATTATGCATCAAAACTGAGGGCAAAATAGAAAAAAAAAGAGGATATGATTGTCATTTTGTCAAAAGGTACAAAATTACTATTTTGCCCTCCTCATCTCAACATTGTGTATTCAAAAGTGAGGGGTAAAATTGAAAAAAGCGGGCAAAAAGGTTGACAAGCTGTGTTCTCTTAATAATATAGAATATAGATGACAACAAGTGAAAAGTTGAGATTACTACTACCTTTGGCCTTTAGTTGTATATAAGTTTCTCCTGAAGAATGAGTGGTTAAGCCACACATGTAATTTTAAAGGCAAAGTAATATTTGGTTTATGTATCAATTTTACAAGTGGTACTTTGAGTTTATGATTGAGCTAACTAAATTTTACCTCTCTCCACATTTGAGGTGATTTTCTGAATGGTTTACTAAGTTCCAATTTCGTTACATTGCATCCTAATGTTTGAAATGTATATTTCCCCTCTATTTGAGCATATTATCCTTTGTTAGATAGATGTGAAACTAGTTTGTAGGCTATGCAGAAGTCACATTTACACTACTATGACCAAACTGTATGATTGCTTGTCGTATTGGAATATGCAATATTGATTGATGAGAAACTGAAACTCCATAACCACTAGTTTAAGTCCATATAATACAAGTGCGGCTTTCAAATCAATCTATAAATGAGTCACACATGCTTGCCTCATTATTAATTCAGTGAATAACTAGACACTTAAACATATACAAATACCTAACTAATTTCAAAACTCAATAATATAATGTGAAAAAATTAAAATCTCACAACCAGTTTTTAAAATGCCTTTAGGTTAAAAAATGCAAAATGCAGTTAGCCTCTTAAGGTTCCAATATAAACAAATTAGTTGTATATCAGAGTAAGTTCAATATTTTAGAATATTAGGTGGCATGCAGGCAACATTTAATTCAATTCACAATGTGAGCTTGTTATATTTTGTTACTTTCCCATCAAATCTTCCATCGACACACCTATACCCTTTGACCTTTGGTTGTGCATACGATTCAGAGCTTTAGAAAATTCTCACTCATTACTACGGTGTAATGGTATTCTTTTTTTCAGTTATAAGTAAGAAGTTTTAAGCTCAATTCTCGTCAAATATAAATTTGAACCACATTATTACTAGTCTATCGTGAGACTAAGCTATCACCCATTCCTCTTAGTGTAAATAATATATTTTTGTAATAAAAAAAAAAATAAAAAAAAAAAAAGCTCCAGACAATTTTATTTTTGTTCATTCTTTATTTATAAATAATAAAGTAAAATGAAGAGACCAGCAGCATCATGAGCCAGCCATCACCATCAATAATTATAGTTTTGGTGGCATATGGGTTATGATTAATTTCATCTGCAATTTAACTCATGAAATTATAAAAACACTTTGGTTGTTTCATCACCTCCTCCTTCGCAAAAATTCTCCACTTTGTCGTCCCCCACCAACATTTGGTAGTTTGGAACGGTAGATAGTTTGTAGCGATCACATTATTCTTTAAAAAAAAATTAAAATTAAACTCAACAGTTATTGTCCTGAGGTTCCTTTTGGGTCTCTCTCTACTTTCTCTACTTTGTCTTACTGCTTTGTTTTCAAGTAATTCCAGATTTCTTGTGGACCAAGTTTTGGTGTCACAACATTAGTGCAAAACATTCCAACTTGGAAAGAAAGAAGGAAAAAAAGGGGGCAAAGAGTTGAAGCTTTGATAAATTTGAGGTGGGGAAAACAAATGAAAGAAGGATTAAAGAAGAAGATTTTAAAGCTAGAATATTAAACTTGGTAAGAGAGAGTTAACAACCTGGAGAGATATGCAAATGAGCAGCAATATTTGTATGTCCTGTTTCCTTCCAACTTTGAGTACTTGTTTCTTGTATACACATCTCAATCATACGGAATTACGATATAGATAAATTATTCTCTTTCGTGCGTAAATATCGTTCTTAGATTCACTTTATGGAAATTCATAACTGCAACATATAATAATTTTATCATTTAATTAGTCTGCATAAAGATAAATATATGAAAGATTGAGACATGCTGCCAAGCAGCCATTCGATGTATTCACACTTAAAAACATATTCAAAAACATCAGGCTTCAATTTCATTAAACAATCACAACTTGGTTTAAACCCGATATAAGCCATCGCGGGAAATGTTAATACAATATAGTAAAACTCAAATAAATACATCTGAATACCTACCTCTCACCATCACATGGAATTCTACGGTCTAATCTAACAATTCCTAGGCTCCCCAGTCTTTCGTTCATCGGAAAGAACCTGCTTAGAACATCAACGAACATCTCCTACGAGTAATAAAATGAGGGAGATGTTATTAATTAGCACTCCAAAGATTCATCCTGCACTCCTCTCTTACAGAAACATAAGGTAGAAACTGCATTTCGAGGAGTGCAAGATGACCTTTTTGGATTGCCAATCACAACTCCAAGTGAGATTTCGTAATTCAATCCCAATCACCAAGCAAACTAACACGACACGCAATCCACTTGGCGGCAAACTCAGGCCCATGACACGTAAAAAAAGACCACCTACCACTCAATTATTGCAATTAACCGGAAGCTTATAATATCTGCACATAAAGCCGACTTCATATCCAACCTTGAGAGGCAGTTAGATATTGAAGAGTAGATGGAATAGTGGTCTTGGAAGTCAGGTGAAAATGTTACCAGCAATTAGTGCCAAGAAAAATGAATAGATTATACAGATTTGAAATAAATGCTACGGACATTTTTTTGAAATATGCACTATCTCCGAACAATTTATGCAATCATTAATGAAAGCACAAGCATATATTTATATCATTGAGGCAATTCAAATGAAAACATAGACTTACCACCGCGATTGTCCCCTATTAATTGAACTACCACATAATTTTAGACTCATGCATGCACAAACAGGACGTTAGGTGAGCAAAAATGATTGGCAGAAATTACATAAGCTACACTAAATTGCATATCGTTGTCACTCCCTGCAATGTAAAACCATTGTCACTAAACTTAAAAATCAAATCAAATTGGAATCTTAAACAACAACGTTGGATTTGTTATCATTTTTCTCCATTTAAAACTAAAGTTTCGAATTTTACGCAAAGCCTCCATCAACCAACCATTCTAAAGTATTAGCATTCAATCCCATCCAAAAAATATGCCTCTCTTTCTGCAAACCCTTATCTCGTCAAGGTAAAGTCCAAATATGGACTTAATAATTCGAGATTGGTTTTCAAGTTTCATCGAACTAGAATACGTTAACTGAATACCAACAAATGGAGGGATCAATCAGCCAGGTCTTCCTAAACTCAAGATAATCTAATATAGTCAGACTAATCATTTCAAGCAGGCTAAATGTTACGCAAAACCCTCACACTATCCCGACAACTCTATAAATAGATGCAAAGAATTTGATCTGAAATGAATGTAATCATCATTGTCGAATGGTTGGTTATTGTTTTTTAAAATTGGCCTTTTCCCCTAACAGTTCGATGGTTCATGTCAGTCAAACAAATGGATGAAATCAACTACCAGTCTACAAGTAACTCAAATGCTGATCCAATGTATGCCATATTTTCACAATCTCCGATGGAAAATAAATGTGGGATGCACATTTTCTAAAATTGGATGTTCACCAATATTTTTTATTCAATTCACTGTTCTTCAAGAAAATTAAAAGCAATGAAGAAACAATCTGCAGAAACAAAAACTCAGAGTAAACTAGAAGAACAATGCAAATATAGACCTATGGCAAATTTATTCAAGGAAAAGTCTAAATCCTCGGCCAAGGAAGATACGTTTGATAATGAAAGTCCTCATACAATAGAAAAGATTACCTCGAATCAAAATGTATATGAAAAAGCTTAGAACTTGTAAGTTGTAATGTCTCAAAATCAACACTTAACTCACTTAAAACCCCCGTAAACCTTGAAACATGGTTTATCTTTTTCTTTTAAGGTAAGAAAAATAAGGGTTTTATTCATATGATAAAAGTATATATACAAGGACAGTCGCAAGCTGTCTACTGAAAAAAGATAAAGGCCTCTAACCAACCAACTCCTATAATGTCCAGTAGTACCTCAAATTAGCATGGCAAAGCATCTATCTAAAAAAGAAAAGACCTTTAGCTGGAGTATCACTTTTAGGCCATGTTTGGATTGAGGCCAAGTTAGTAAAGAATGGATCACATAATGTTAGATGGAGGGTTTAGAAATGCACCACATGTACATTACAAAGGCATGTGGGAGGAATTTGCATATGACTACTTGGAACTAGTCATTTATAAATCCCTCTTGCATAACTTTTTGATAATCATGTAGTGCATTTATAATCCTCCTATCTAATCTATCTAATGTTTTACTGTTTAGGTGAGGGACTTCTAAATTCCAAGGGATTTACACAAAGTGATGAAGAAAGGCATCACAAAAATTTAGATAGGAGGGATTAGAAATTCTCCACATGAGATTTGCAAATCCATTCTAAATTCCAACCCATCATTTGCAAATCCCTCTCACATGCTTTTTCAATTCTCATGTGGAGAATTTCTAATCCCTCTTATCTAACTTTTTGTGATCCATTTCTTCATCACTTTGCCTAAATCCCTTGGAATTTAGGAGTCCCTCATCCAAACATTCCTCACTTGGCCCAAGTCCCTAGAGATTTGGAAGTTCCTCATCCAAACATACCCTTAGGTAACTGATGATGTGTTGCCTCACCATTTACAATGGGACCAACTTATAGAACCAGATTCCAGTTGAATGCCCACTCTATGCACTAAGTGGTGCTGCCACATGAAACCCATGTTTTTACATAAGCCTTACAGCTCTATCTAGCAGTGGTATGGCATGAAACATGCAGTGATGTTCTTTAAACATGTTTTATAACCCTCAAAGTTCTATCTACCAGTATTCCTTAAAATTAATACTAATTCCAGAAAAGCTTCGGCGCCAATCTCTGATATTTCAGAACTCAGCTTTTATCAGGATAGCTACTTAAACAGCGCAACGAAGAGATCAAAACACAGATGTTTAAAAATGCCAAACTTATTATGCCTGTGTCTATCAAAGGAAGAATCAAATTCAGCAAGTAGAAAGGAGAAATGTAAATACAATAACCAATAGAGTAAGTAGTTTTGACACTGCCATCCTACTTGCAGAAGAATAAAGTTTAATACACGATTGCGTGGAGGTTAGGTTCTTCAAATTCAAAAGATGTATTTTATTTATTTAAAAAGAAATGCTTTATTTCAACAGCCATAGGACATCAACATCGCAATTACAACAGAACAGGGCGATTTGCGTCTTGAGAACGTATGCGTGACACTTTAAGATCTCCTTTACAATACCATTAGATTTTCCCAAAAAAATGTATCACTAGAAATACAAGAACGACTTACCTGCAGTTGTTGACCTCGAATTCGACATTGTTGACGATTTCCTTCCACCAGAAAAGATAGGACCAATCCTCTTGGAAGAACAGTTACCTAGCAGGAGACATTTTTCAACAAAATTAATATTATAATCAATTAAAAAGTAACACTTATCCTCCTTTGATGAATCGAACAAAGTAGTTCAAGAAAATGCCTACCTCTTTACGTGAGAAGCCAGTTTTTACACATCGCGTCGGAAAACAGACAACATTGTGAAGTGGGTCTGTTTGGTTACCGAGAAAATGCAGGAAATGAAAAATCAAAACTTCGAACTCCAACTATCTTAACTAATTTTAACTGATCTAAGCTTTCGGTGATGGAAGGTTTTTGAAATTGTTGAGAGATTAGGGCTTTTCTTTCTACATGTCCGTTAGTAGAATTGGGGAGGACGGTGTAGAATTACGAAAGAGACGGCCCACCGGTTCTTAATTTAGTAATTGTCAGTCAGGAGTAGGATTTTGAAGTGCAGTTATTAGGTGTCGGATTTTGGAGTAGGGTTACGATATTTAACATGAGTTTGCTATTTAGCTCTGATATTATATAGAATTCTGAGAGAAACGAGTTATATACGGACATCTAACAATATTGATATTGTTTGGTAATTATTAAGTGTGCATTTCGTCAGATGTATGGTATTATCACAAAAGATATCGATATTAGTTGATGTGGGGTTATTATATTAGTTGGAGTAGAATTACGATATTTACATTTTTTTTTTATTGTTTTTTCAGAGATAGGTGTGAGATTTCAACAGATGGCAGTGTGGCCGGAACTTTACCGTCCTGAACAAATGCTTTGGGCCTCGGTCCAATATTTTGGGTCTCTATATGACCATGGGCCTTAGACCCTCTTTTGCTTCCCACTCTCCTAAAATGTTAAGATTTTTTTATTTTTATTTTATTTTTTAGTAAACCTAACAATTACAAAACTGGTTAAAAACAATAATTATAACTATATTAGAGTAACATGGGCAAATGTTGTACCATTGAAGTTTATATAATGTCATCTTGTGAGTTAGATCATTAAAGATATCTTACTTTGAAATTAATAACAATATAACCGGATGAAATTATGTTGATTAAACATTATCGCTTTTTTTGTTGAAATTAAGCATTATCTCTAACATTAAACTACCGACTCCTATAATGTTTCCAAAATGTTTTTATTTCAACCTTTTAAAATAATTTTTTTAACAAATGGTATTATCTATAGAAAACTTAATTTTAATCTTTAAAAAGATGAGTTTTAGACTATAACCTTGTGTAAGATTAAAATCCAATTTTAGTCCCTAGTACATTTAATCATCTCATTTATTAGTTATATTTTGATGTTTTATTTATCTTTTTATTCCTATTTTAATGTATTACTTACATTTAAATTTAATTTTCATTTCATTTATCATAATATATTTTAATGTCTACATTTAGGCAACTAATTTTTTTATAATATATAGTCCGATAACAATTTTGTATGTTTTTCATTTAGGTACATTAATATATTTGAATATTTCGGTATATCCATCGATACAAACATATATATGCATTTCGGTACATACATTTTGGTACACACATTTGAGTGTTTTTTTTTTTTCTTTTTAGTATAACGATATATTTTACACTAAGGATAGAAGCGTTCCACTAAGCCACGTAATGGACAATTTAATTTGGTATCGAATTCGCCATCCACGAGATTCGAACATAATACCTCTCATTTTAGTATTGACTTTCAGGTACATTAATTCAATATACTATATTTTGGTACGTACATTTTGGTACATACATTTCGGTATTGAGATTTAGGTACATTAATTCAATATAATACATTTCGGTACGTATATTTCAGTACGTAAATTTCGGTACATACATTTCGGTACATATATTTCGGTACATACATTTGAGTACGTATATTTCGGTACGTACATTTTGGTACGTACATTTCGGTATGTACATTTTAGTACATACATTTTGGTATTGATATTTAGGTACATTAATTCAATATAATACATTTCGGTACATGCATTTAGGTTCATTATAGTATATTTCGGTACAATCATGTAGGTACAAAAAAGTCAATTACATATATTTCAGCACATTACAATCATGTATTTATATATTTTGTATCACAAATTTCTTTTAATATTTTCTCATTTATGTTCATTTATAATTAAATAACTAAATATGTGCATATTAATAAAATTAAATTTAATGTGGAGAGATTAAATAAAAATACACATTAAATAACAAAAATTGAATATAAATTTTGATAAAAGTACACTTCAAGAGATTAAATTGAATATGTAATCTAGCACCATGTTTTTTTTTTAACTTTTACTCTTTTGTAAGGACTAATGTTCAAAAACCCCTATTATCTACACTAAGGAAGGTGGAGGGTACCTAAGCTTTATAATGAATTAGCAATAATGTGATTCAAATTCATTTTTTACGAAAATCGAACTTAAAACTTCTCAAAATACCACTAAACTATAATATTAAGTAATAACTTTTTAAAGTACTTATTTTTTTTAAAAAAAGGAGGTTGACCGTTTTGATAAGAAAAAATTAGAGTAATAGTAAACGATTGGTCCTTAAACTTGTTTCAATGTAGAACAACGATCATTTTTTTTAAAAAAAAGGAGGTTGACTGTTTTGATAAGAAAAAATTAGAGTAATAGTAAACGATTGGTCCTTAAACTTGTTTCAATGTAGAACAACGATCATTTTAACTAACTTTGATAGAATTTTCGGTCATTTTTTTGTCTCTTTAAACAATATATTTTGGAAAAAAAAAATTCTAACAAAATAGCCGAAACAAGTTTAAGAATTAGCACTTGCGATTTCTTTAGCTCGGAAGCCAAAGAGGGACCACAGCTCCAATTACTATTTTTGATAATAAGAGTTTTGAACTTTAAAAGGCGAAAATAAAACGAAAAATTGAGTGGTGCCCAGAGCACTATCTTTCTCCTTCACAACAATCTCTTTTGGTCTCTTATTTCAGTGTGTTCTTAATCTTCTGATACACTTCGGACTTCAAAAGTAAAACCCATTTCTCAGAAACTCTCTTTGTTTACTTACTGAAATTCTGACACAATTTTGTTGAAGGTTGTTCGTTCAGGTAGCATAGCATGGCTTCCATCATTGCAAGCTTGCCTCCACCACTGTTGGTCCATAGCAGAAATACAAATACCATCCTTTTCAGAGCTCTTCCAAAACTCCCCGTTTCTTCCGTTTCAGGTGAGCCTCGCGGTCATAAATACTAAAGCTGCTATTTGGGTTTTTTGTTCTTTCGTTATTTCTTTCAAATTTGAATTGCAATTAAACAGAGTATGTTTAATTTGACTAAGCATATTGAATTTGTTCGTTCAGAGTGTTTGGTTGGGTTTTTGAGTGAAGGATGAAACTGAAATTCAGCTACTTTAGTTGAGAGAATTTGGCAATTTGGTCAAAAGTGGTGTTTTATTTTAATAATCGTTTTCAATTGGATTGAGCTTTAATACGAAGAATCTTTTGAATTAGGGTATGTATTTGACTATATGATTTTGTTGAGAATGAATCCCATATTGATGGGAAGAGGGACCATGCATATGCTTATAAGTAGTTGGGCTACTCGCTAATTGGTTTTATGGTCATGGTATCAGAGCAGGTTGTCCCATGTGTGAAATCCAACAATCACACGGTCTCAGTGTCACCCTGTTGTGTTATCTACGTGTTAGGCTTGAACCACATTGGAGGGATCTTACATGTGCTTATAAGTAGTTGGGCTACTCATCGTATAGTCAATTAGTTTTATGGTGGAACCTCAACTTTAAAAGGATTGGAAACTCGGATAAGATAAGGCTAAATGCAATATCAGAAAACAAAACCTTCCACATCCATGTGTTGAGACGTGAAACTCGAAGGCGTAAGGCCCCACTTGATAATCATTTCGCTTTTTTTCTTTGTTTTATTTTCCACTCTTTGGTTGTAAATAAAGAGGAAATACTAAGAAAGGATGGATAAATAAGGATAAAGGAAGGGTGGTATGAAGGATGTGTAAGAAACCAAAATTTAGAAGAACAAAACCGTCCACATCCATGTGCATTTATTCCACATCCTTCCTCCTACACTCCCTTGCCGTTCTTGATTCATTCATCCTTTCATCTACTTTAACAAAAATTGAGAACTAAAACACGAAATGGTTATCAAACGTTCTCTAAGTAATCAAGGGTTTTAGAGGTTGATGGTTATGTGTTTGAAGTGTCATATGAAATGCAATTTGAGTGCACATTTCAATGCCTTGGTTGCACTATTCTCTCCTAACTTAGGTGCGTAATTTTCTGACTTTTCAGAGAGACAGAATCGTGTTGCTGTTGTGGTGAAGGCTACTGGGGAAAGCTCCGAGTCTTCAACTTCTATTGTGAAATCTGTTCAGAATGTGGTAAGCTATTTCCCTCTGCGCTTTCATGATCAAATTTTTATATTTTTGATTTGTGCTCAGTACATAAAGAACTATAGAGGGTTTCACGTTATGCTTTGGCTAGCCTGAATCTGCAGGCAATATTTCCTTTCTTCTTTTGATTCCTCTAATGGTTTTCAATTGTGTGCAAAGTTTATGAATTCCCCCTTCAGTAAATTTCGAAAAAGCGTGCATTTTTCTTAGCTATGAGAATGGGCTGTGATATGGATAACACACGATTTTGTTTTTTAGCCAACTTTTGATCCTAAGAATTTGTCATTCTATGGAATGAAGAAATGCATGCAATATTTTTTTTCTTCTTCATTCGATAGATTGACAAGTTAATTTTGATCTTTTTATTTTTTATTTTTTATTTTTTTTTAATATCAGGCTTACTATTTTCTTCCTCTCGCTTTGATTTGAAACAGTGGGATAATTCTGAAGATCGGCCAGCTCTTGTTGCTTTGGGGTTTGCAGCTGTAGTAGGTTTATGGACATCAACAAATTTGATTACAGTAATTTTCTTATCTCTCTGTTCTTTTCAGTTCTTGAAAGGAATGAAAAGTGTTGTTGCAATAGTTGATACGAGCTTGTATGTACTAATACCAACTATCAACGTCTGGCACTTTCTGTGGCATTCATATGTAGGGACCAAGTTACACTGTCAAAGCTTAAAACTTCTTAAATTTTTTTATTTCCAGAGTAGAAAATAGAATATCACAAAAGTTTTATCAGCCTTTGAGGCTAGATGGAGAGCAATTGGAGTCATTATCCAAAAATTTACCGCTGCCATTTATTTCCCCCAATATTTTCTTAATTTTAGTGATTTTAGGTTATTCATTTTTTATAATCATATTTTAGTTGTTTCTTTCTTTGTTTTTATATGTAATGATCTTGTACTTCGCAATAGAGAAAGCTATCCCATTTAGACAGTATATATTGTGTATGTCACATGACGAGTTTGAAATCTCTTGTAATCTTACTAGATTTTCATGTTACTTGTTAGAGGTGATTGTGATTACATTTATCTTCCTGTATTGGATGGCTTTGCAATGCTCATGAAGGGCATTTCTAATCCCTCTTATCTTACATTTTGTGATTCATTCCTTGATAACTTGACCTCAATTCCTTTGGACTTCGAAGTCCCTCACCCCAAACATAACCTAAAAGTAGGATTTCGTACCCTTCTTTTAAAACAAGGTGGTAGGTCCTCTTCTTTTATTCTGATGAGATGTTGAATTTGATTGTTAATATTATGTTAAGGATTTAGGAGTTAAAATCTTACAAAGTATATAGTTTGATCAAACTTTAAGATGTGTCCGGTCTGCTTCTTTAAAAAAGTACATTATTGATCAATTTTGTTCTTAAGTAATTTGGTAAAGAGTGTATGGTATACATTGTGAACCGAGACATACAAATTCAAACTTCGTGAGGTTTAAATTCATCTCTTCTCACTAAAGGGTATGGAATTATTTACTAGACCATTTTCAGATGCCTTTGGGATGGTGTACTTGAGAAATCAAATTCAAAGTTTCTAGTGTTACTTCTCCAATATGTGATAGATTTTTAGGACGACAATCATCATAGCAATTTAGAGCAGTTGCAATTGTCTAAATCTTAATGTATTATTCGTAGAGTTTTTAACTTCGCCAATTGCCACACACATACACTATTTTCATCAGTGAACTTGCTTTCAGCTTAGTAGGAGTTCTAACGGTTTAATACCCCTCTCATTGTCCTTGATTCCCCGTTTATGTGGTTAGGCCATTGACAAGTTGCCGCTTATCCCAAGTGTGCTAGAATTTGTCGGAATACTTTTCTCTTTGGTAAGTACGCGATACATGTATGTTATAGTTGGTTGCTATGGGAGGTCAAATGTATATTAACTTGTTCATGTTCTTGTTTCAGTGGTTTATATATCGATATCTCCTATTCAAGCCTGACCGGTGAGAAAACCTGATGACTGCAATTTTATTTTGCTTTGAAAATAATGAAGAGTACCTCGAGCATGGCATTCTTAAGTTGGAATGCAAGAATGTGTTGTTTCCGTCAAGTTTTCTCATTGTGTTTTCTTGTGTTTGTGTTTACAGGGAAGAGTTTTTCCAAATCGTGAACAAATCAATATCCAATATCTTGGGCCAGTGAATTGTTATTCCAATTGTTCTGAGAGTGTTTTTAGTTTGAGGAAGGGATTGGCAGGAACTTAATATGTATTACAGTAGCAATCAAACTCGTTATTCCGAGTCAATCAAGAACCTCAAGTTGGTCTTAAATCAACGTTTTTGAGAAATCATTTCCTCCAGTCCTATTATTAAAATACCATATTTAAGAGGGAAAGAAAACATCCAATAAAAAAGGAGTGGAAAAATATCATCATCAACATTTAACTGTTTGATTATCATCATCAACATTTAACCGTTTGATTACCATCATCAACATTTACTTCTTTTACATGAAACGTAGTGTTCGTCTATATCTTCTCGGGAGTGGGCACATCATTTGTTCTCATCGCTCAAGATGCTGAAATTATAAGAAATGACTCTTGGATTTCTCATTTCTTAATGAATAAGAAATTACAATCAGTTTATATATACATGTGAGAAAATAGCTTAGTAACTAATTAAACCTGATTAACTAACTAATCTAGGATTAGTTACATGGACAGCTGTAACAAACTAGAAAGTAAAATGCACCAGACTATACATGTGCTATAGGTGCCTTATTAGAAATCTCCACCGTTCAGATCTCAACAATATGGGTATACTCGCCCGCACCATGCACCAACCGCGCCAAAGCCGATTCTGGACCGGCTACAATCCGATTCTCGAATTCCACCGCCAAACCAGACCCCATTTCTAATCTATTCATACCCGCTTTGGATTTGTACCAATTACTTGGCTACAGGATGTTCAAGTCAAACAGCAACGTGTTGGATAACACAACGCAGATGAACTACATGAACATGTTCAATCCACTTATGGAGCGGATGAGAGGAGTACCCACCAGGATAAAGATAGAGGGGGCTGTGTTGGTGTAGATTTGCAGTGGGTCGGGTCGGTGTGGAGTGGGGGAGAGGTGATGGGGATGATGTGCAGGAGGTTGCACGGGTGGGAGGCAAGTGGTAGAGGGAATGTGTTCCCCCCCTCCCTCTTTTGTGTGTGTGTGTGTTTTTTTTTTTTGAACTTTTCAATATTTATGTTTTATAGTAATAAGACAAAAAAATTTGGATTGATTTTATATTTTGGTGGGGCCAAATTCCTGCCACATCATTTAACTAAGGATTTAATTGATAGACTAACAAAACAGAAGTACGAATCTACATGAAAAACGTAACTTTAGGTATGAAAGTGAGATTAGCTCCCAAAATCCTAATTCTGTTAGTCTAGCCATTAAGTTCTCCATTAAACGATGACCTAGCAAACTTTGGCCACCCAAAAATTTTAGAGAAATACCCAAAAATAGGATATTTTCTTAATCTTGGAATTGAAATAGGACAAACAGGCCATGCACAAGTCGTGCACACCAAGCACAAAATCAAAATTACTAAAATGCCCACATATAAATACTAAAACCCTTAGCTTATTTCTTCATTTTGTCATTTGGAAGAGAGGCATGCTGAGAGAGCTTTGTGAGCTATGGGTTTCTAGGTTGAGCTCAGATCTTTGAGCTCCGATTTCGAAGAGAGGGAAGTCGAGAGTGAAGCTTCAAAGTGAGAGTTTCTCGTTTGCATTAGAGTTCCATCCTTAAAGATATGATTTTTGTACCAGATCTTGCTTTTTGGTCGGAAAGTTCACTTTTTTCCGGCCAGTAAAACTTCGGTAGCCATATTTCTACAATCATTCGGTTCGTCTCTCTCACTCGTCTCTTTCTCTCTCTCGGTCATTGTCTCCATTTCTACGACTAATTACTTGTTTCTTCAATTAGGTTTCTTGGATTTGTAGAAATGGGAAGTCGAAGAAAAGTGGGATAGGGAAGAGAGGGCTTGGAATGTGTCATAGGAATCTTTATTTGTTTGTGGGTTTTGTTATTTTAAATTCTAGGTTTCAATTTTTGGGTTCTTAGAGTTTTGCGTCTTAATTTTTGTTTAGGGTATTGAAGATTCCTGGAGTTGTGTTGGTGGATTTGGCTTTGTGGGTTTGTTACAGAATGCTCAATATTTGTTAATTTTATTATGAACTTGCAAATTTTTGTGAGTTCGATCTGGAATCAATGTTTGTTTGAAATATTTGAAATCGATGTTTGTTTCACATACTAATTCGCTCTCTTCATATTAAGCTCGCTCATATATTGTATGTACACGACTTATACATGACATCCACATGACATGCACATGTTATGCTCATAGATCTGAGCTCAATCCAAAAACCCATAGCTCACATCTCTCTCTTCGAAATCAGAAAACTAACGCAATTAGATAAATGACCCTAAACTTTATATGAAGAATCGAAGATTCATTAATTTGAATTTGGTATCAAATTTGATTAGGTTCAAATATTTCAAGGATTTGAAAGTTGTAGTTTGAATGGGCACAAAAGAACCCAACTGAATCAAAAGAAATTGTTTCACAAACTTGTTTGCTTTTTTAGTATTTGCAGGAACTGCCTCTGAATCAAAGAAAAAGTAGTAAACTACGTTAATGTGAAGAGTATCAAAGATATAAATAAGCACCATATAAACTATACGCACAACACATGCACATAATATACAGTACATGCACATGATATGCACAGAACATGAAAAACTTTAACAGCAACATATTGGTATAGTGAATACAATTAAAATACAATGGTTACGTATATAAGGTTACAATGATGGTTTGAAAAGTCTTGTTATGTATCAACCACCACTTAACTGTGCACATGGAAAAAATGATACTCGTTGTCGTTATTTTATTGACATGCATGACCCTTAACGTTTTCTAAACTTTTTCTTAATTTTGTTTTTCGCCGAGGCTAACTAGGTTGTGCTATACTCGCTAAATTCCGAAGCACAACATACGTACATCATAATTAGTGAACATTCTGCTACTCATATTAGGATGTAGCCATGCACACCATATACACATTACAAAAAAAAATTCACAAATTTCTGCAATTGAACACTTGAACCAGAAATTGTTTCATCCTAATTTTATAGCATGTCAAAACTTGAAATTTATTCCACAATCCATATGCTCCAACATGAAATACAAACCCTAATTTAACTTCTAAGTATTAATTCATCTTGCAAACAACTTATTTATTCCATAAATAATTGATAAATGTACTTAGAACTAAACACCCTGCCTTTCTATGCATGCCGAAGCTTTAGTTGCCGGAAAAAAATGAAACTTTCCGACCAAAACAGTCCATCCTCCACTTCCGTTAGCTACATTGCCATGATTGTTGATTGATGTCAGTTTTCATTTTCATAACTAATTTTAATTGCTCAGGTCCTATGGACCCAATGCCTCATGGAAAGAATGGAGACGACGCCGGTTGGTTCTGACTTCAACAACTTCGATGAGGCCTGAAACCAATGTTGTTGACGGGTTCTAAGACCACCATCACACTCAACCTCCACTCCAAACCATGACATTCAAAGTGAGAACTACCAATTCAATCCCAACCATGTCTTTGCGAATCTACGTTCAAACCCCAGGACACTCATTTTTCTATGATCTGGAGGTAATCTTAATCTTTCTTTTGGATACAACACACACTTTTGAGGATATATGAGTACTTTCATATCAATTTTTATTATAATTATTAGGGTTTTTTAGTTATGAAATTTGCATAACTCATCACTTTGATTCCTGAAATTTGAAATAAATAGAAATGATGCTGAAATTTGAAATCAAAACGCCCCTGCTGCTTCCCAGTTTCTCTTCCGTGAGTCCCATTGAAAAACAATGGCTTTCGATTACGCATTCACCGGAGACGAAATGGAAATTGACGATGGCCTCAGGTGCCTGAAATACTACGGCGAAGCTCTGCCGGGATCGTAGCGGCGGACCGTACAGCCATGGCCCTCCTTTCATTTTCATGCCTTACTGTCTGCAGCAACAAGAGGTACCAGAAATAACCCTTTATCACTTTGTGTTTGTTTACCGGGGAAGTGAGAGAGATTATGGTTTTAACTAGATATTCTGGTGTATATTTTAGATATTTTTTTGAATAATTGGAAATTGTTTCTTTCTTTGATTCTGTGAATGCTGGTTTTATAATATGATGTGGTTTTCAGTATCTGGGAGCTAGAGATTTAGAGCAGATGTTTCCTATTTATCGACCCGAAAGAGAAACCTACAGCCAGGCCAAAGATTTTTGTTAGTCTTTTGTGGAAGCAGCTCAGCCACCATGGGTAACCCTCTTAATTTTTCTCCAGATGCCTTCAAAATTTTAGCAAAACTGGAGAATGCACCAATGATATTTTTTTACTTGATTTTAAACTTACTTTGAAATTTCAAGAATGCCGGCTTTGATCCTGCAGTGATTCGAATAGACCCGTACGGCAACCTTCTGTATATTACCTCTTGCTTGGGATATGGATCACTGGTTTCCTTGCTCAAGCATGTAGCTCATCACTAATCTCTCTCTCTCTCTCTCTCTCTCTCTCTCTCTCCATATATGTAACCTGTGGCCATTTTTGCCAAAAATTTAGGGGGAGGATCACTGTCCCAAGCAATTTGAGGATACTACAATGGCAGGCCTGCAAGAGGAAGCATAACATGCTTGAGTTTCACATTCCACGGTGGGATTTTCAGTTGGGTATATCCGTGAACCAGTTTTTATCGATGTTCGCTTCTGCCAACTCCGATTTCAGGTGGGAGTCTACTTCATATTTCTCTTCCTATGCGCTTTTCGTTTTGAAAACGTTGATTTGTGACAAATTGTATCCTTTCTCAACATTGGCAGGCACAGAGCATTCTCGTTTCTTTTCTCTAATGTGAGGAACTCAATTCTTCAGACTGTAGACTCACATACTTTTCCGCAACATTATGTGGAATCGAAAGAGCATTTGGGCCTAGCTCCGGCTGCCATTGTTGTATCTCGACGGGAGTCATATGTTTCATCTGCTTTGAAATCCCTGGACTGCAATAAGCAGATAAGGCCAGAATCTTCTGCAATTGGTTAGGTTAGTCCTTAAAAAACTTCTTCTCTTCTTCTCAAATAGCTTTTGTTGTCTGTCCAGTAATAATGGATATCGTAATTCATACCCCTTTTTTATTTCGGATTGTGTTAGCTGCAAGAAAAGGGAAACATGCTGTTTTGAAAGAAAATGAGAACCCGGACTTCGTTAGAAACATTGTCATGGCAAGATATTCCCTGAAACAAAGAAAACAAACTGCAAAGACGCAAGCAGAGATACAAACGTTGGATGATGAAGTGAATCAACTGAGGCGAAAAAATGAAGATGAGAAGCTCACCATTCAAAACTTGGAACTGACATTGATAAGGCGAAGGAGGAGAGCAGAAACGTGCCGGCGGCTAGCAGAGGCACAGTCATCGTATAGAACTATGCTCGAAAAGATGATTTGAGATGTATGCACCAGTAAGATTATAAAACAACAATCTGATTAGAGGATTTATCATTTCCCACCTTTTCAATTTGTGTTTTAGACTGATTCATTGACACTTGTTCTCCTTTTTTTTTTTTTTTTTTTTTTTGCTTAAGGTTAGTCATTTATAAAGAGCAATTGAGGCTGAACCAGGCCATAAGTACTGCACTCATGGAAAGACTTGAGGCACAAAAGGCAATCTGTGATGCATGGAGAAAGAACTACATAAGAAATACAAATAAAGAGATAGAGCTTGAGACACAGAAAAGGCCTGAATGGGAACAAGCAAGGAAAAGATCGAGGACAGATGATGCACTAACTGAGGAGAAAGACAGCAAGATGGTTCTTTATCCACCAGCAATCAAGCCAAGAACGCCTTTACATAAGGCCAAAAAACGATTGTCTATTGACAATCACAGGGAGAATTGAACTATCTGAGGAACTGGAAAGACCAAAAAACGATTGTCTATTGACAACCACAGGGAGCAGGCCAGATACAGTGTTGCATTAGAGGATGAGATCTTGTTAGAGAATCAAATGCAGAGACTGGAAATAGAAGGAAGCACAAATTTCAGTTTCCTGCCATTCGAGAGCCAGAGATTGTGGAAGATGAAGAGAGCAGAAAAGAACGTGGCTAGGGGAATGTAGAGAATTGGCTTCAGATTCTGTTGGACAGTTCTCCACAGGAGTTGGATCCTCAGAACGAAAGTGCAAATGAAAAGCACAGGACCGGTGATATAATCAGTCAAACTGAAGAAAGTGCAAATGAAAAACACAGGACCAGTGATATAATCAGTCAAATGAATTTGGAGTACCCACAGGAGATCAAGAATGTGAAGTGTCCACAGGCTGAGGCTAAAGAAGGTGTGCCGAAGCAGCAGTTAATTGTCCAAGAGAAGGATGACAATGCACATCAAGTGCGTACTCATGTTAAGTCCCTTAAGGGAGTTGTTATCAGGAAGAGTTTTGAAGGGAGGGACCAGAGTAACGGAAAGGGAAAAAAACTTACAAAGTCTGAGAGTGCCAGAGCCTTTCGACGAATTCCATCTTCTCCATCTATAATACTGGGCATGAAAAAGGGTGTTGACTGCATACAGAAGAAGCGCATGGTAACCAGTGATGATGACAAAAGCTATGCAGCGGGAAACAGTTTTATGAAGTCATCCATAAAGACAATCAAGAAAACGAGGGATTTTTCGGTGTACCCGGCACACCAAAAAAATTTGGTGTACCCTCACTCATAATGGTGAGGGTGCACCAAAAAAATTTGGTGCACCCTCACTTTTTGTACACCAAAAAAATTTTAATGAGTGAGGGTACACCAAAAAAATTTGGTGTACCCGGTACAACTAAAAATTTTCCCAAGAAAACAGAGAAAATATGAACAGCAGTAAAGTATTCATTCTTTTTCTTCTTCATTGTATTCATTATAACGCAAATCCTTCGATGCGTGTTGAGAGTCGTAGCCCTTGGATAGATATTTTGTCTGGTCTTTCATCGTTCCTAGAGTGCTGCATGTTTGAGGTGGCCAACGGGGAGAGCGTGAGGTCTTGGGAGGATGGTTGGTTGGAGTGGAGGGTGGACCATGGAAAGAGCAGTATCCTGGAATCAAGAAAGCACGACCAGAGCATGTCAATTTATTTGTTTGATGCATATGAATGACTAAAAGATCATAAGTTATTATAACTTTTTAAGTTAAATGCTCGCAGATTCAGCTCAGTGTAAGCATGCTTGTATTAAACAGAGGGAGATTCGCTCGTGGATGCAAAAGGAGAGCACAATACTCTAATCAACTTGGTTAAGCTCAAATCGGGACAAACTCTATCTATTTGGCTAGGTAATTATATTTGTACCCTCAAACGCTATAAATGAGTTTTGTTCTACTGTATTTGATTATTTGTATCTATTTATTGATACTTGCCTTATATTGTCTATGAAAGATTATAAATGAGAAATTATTGAATTCAATCTAATATGGATCGTGGTTGGAACGTAAGGGTTGCGGGGGAGAGGTTAGAAACTCGGAATACCTTGAGTCCTTTTTTATATGGGAGTGTATGATTCCATGGCAAGTAAGCCAAGGAGTCTCTGTTGGGTTGCGGGGTGTATGTCGCCGTCTTGCACGCATGTGCGTGTATGAGCTCATGCATGATTTGTGTGGTGCTTATAGATGAGGAGAGGAGTCTAATATATATTCTCACGTCTATTTATTTAACACGACAATTGAGAATAGCCATAATAACTGATTGTGGAATCAAGTTTATATGGTATTTTGTCTTGCATTGCGGCATACGACTCTGAAAATACAAGAAAAATGGCAACAATCACCAAGCAAGCCTAGTTGTTGCTGGTTGCTATAATACCAAAAGCGTGATAAAAGACTTAAAAGTCCAGAGTATTTTATTTTTAGAGATTTTACGTATTATGCCATTAAACTGTCAATTTATAAAAATTCATATTATCATTTTGCAAACATAACATTTACCTGTACGCATGGGAGTGGAACTTAAGAACGTACCCAAGAGGATGCTGACATATGCTGCAAATCCACCCTCATTAATTTTAATTAAAAAACAAATGAAAGTTTTCTACGTTGAAATTACACCCAGAAATACGAGATTTCTCAGCTAAACATCTCACGCAAGTCCATCTCCCAAACCCTAAAGCCAAAAACTTTTAATGAAAATTTTTAGAAATAAAATTCATTTTCTATTTAGGGTTGGGACCATAGAGATTTCAATCAACTATCCTATGAGAACAAATCCAGCTAAACCGCTTTCAGATATCTTGCTTGCTGGTGACAACCAAATGTTTAAAATATTGGTATAAGTAGAAATATCGATATCCAAATTTGTAGAAATATCAACTGATATATCGAATGTCAATATCAATACGTGTTGCTTTCGATGGAAATTATAGAAATTTAAAAAGAAACTTTATGGATTGTCAAACATTGGTTTTGTATGAAATATAAGAGTTTCTTTGCTATTTAATAGATGTGTCAAAAATATCGACAATATATGTCGATTTTTGCCTAAACTTAATTTAGTTTCTTTGATATAAGTGAAGTTTAGACTTCACTCCCTATTTTCATATCTTTCTCTATTTTTTTTAATATATCTAGAAAAATACCGTATCGAAGAAATTTAAACACTACTAACAACATAACCATGTATTTTGGATGCAGTGAGATAAGATTCCTAGTTCATGTCATGTAGCTCGCCTTTCATTTCTTTCGTTACGTTCTTCTCAATAAAACACATATTCACACTCATTCATACTACTCCCCAAGGGATCCCCATCAAACCACCACCACTTGGTCCACAAATCTCCTCTGCACCACCACCTGGTACACTCCTATCCACCACCACCTAATTTCCAATTTCCAAAGATAAATGCAAAGGAGACTCTTTTAAAAGTGAAACTCTCCATGAACTATTGCACAATTTTTGTGCTAACATTATAAAATATTATTTCAAAAAATGAGATGGTGTAGAGTCCATAGAGAGCCTTACTTTTGAAAGAATTTCCTTAGCATTTCTCATTCCAAAATAAAAAAAGATGTGTATTTAATAGAAATTTTGAATTTAAAATAGATTATTATTAATGCTATAATAATTGGTATGCAATTTCTGATTTTTTTTTTCATATTCTAATTTGATAATGTGTTGATAGTTCATATATAATTTTTTTTAGCTTAATTAATTGACATAGTTTTTGGTTTTTTTTAATTTTTTCCTTCTAAAAAATGAGATTAGCTAGTGGCTTCACCACAAGAGTCCAATCTTTTAAGGGCCGGGAAGACTCACAGAGGTATTTAGGCGTCCTCCTGGTCGCCGTCGTGCAATTCACCAAATCCAGAAATTGAACTCAGGATATACCATATAGAATACGGGTCTGAAATTCGTCCCCAACTATTGAGGCATCCCGTGGTAATTTTTTGTTTTTATTAATTGATACGTTTAGAAATCAAAAATATGGAATGATACTAAAAACAAATATATATCATCATCGATTAATTTAGACAATCCTATTTCGGATAGTACCACTACAATCTTGAATAGTTCCAATCTGATGAATGACTATCCTTGTACTATTCGAGATGAGATGTATATTGATGAAACTTTTATGCCTATAAATCATGCTTTTGTCGGATTATGAAACCTTGTAGCCCTTATTTGGCATACCGTATAAGGGATTAGATAGAACTAATAATACAGATCCGGTTGTTTGGCGTCCTCTCGTACTAAATAATCGTCAGATTAATTTAAGTAGTCGGATAGGATAGTCGGGTATACACCTTCTTAATAAACCCTTCCAAAAGGAGTGGATTATTAGTCCGGTTCTCTTTCCTTTCTCTCGCACTTCGTTCTCCACGACACTTCCTCTTGCCGTCGTTGTTCTCACCGTCATCCCTCTCGTTGTTGTCGATCTCCCGGTCATCTCCTATAGCCGTCACCTCATCTCACCGACATCGATCTGCCCATGAGGTGCAGGTCCATGACAGTGAGGTGCAGAAAAGAAGAGGCTGAGGTGCAGAGAAGAAGGGGGAGGTCTGTGACAGTGAGCATCGCAACTTTAGGGAGGGGGATATTAAGGGTACAAGTGTAATACAGTTAGAAATACAGTTAGTAATATAGTTAGTAAGGTTGTTTGGATTTTTCTTATAAAAACTGTGTGTAATCTTCATTTAGTGAGTCAATACAAATCCTATTTCTCTTTCTGCACTTTTTTTTTTCTCTCTCTCTAATATCTCTGTGTTCATCATTCTCTTCATCCGTTCTTCTTGATTTTCTCTTCAATTCCAAACACTACAATGTAGTTATCATGGTATCAGAGCCACCAGGCTCACGCCTTGGATTCTAGTGGTTTCATTTCCCATTATTTTTCATCTGTTTCTAGCTTAGTTTCTTTCCAAAGTTTCATTAGATGTTCGGTTAAGTTTATGGGTGCTTCCGTGATCGTTCTTTTACTTCTGGGTTATTTTTCTGTATTGTGATAAGAGATTTCTCCACTGATCTCGATGAATCCTCTTTCTTTTTGAAGTCGGATTGCGGATTACAGACAAATAGGCCATTCGCGCTGCTGGCTTTTGGTGTTTGCTGGCCACCATCACGATGCAAACTAGATTGGGCTGCTGATCAAATTGCTATAAGATACACCTATCAACATAGACTAATTGAAATATGATGGTTAGATATTCGCCCTTAGTATGGTGTTGGCTTTGGTATTCGTATGTCAGAATTAATTTCTTGATGTGTTCATCTTTCTGGTGCGGAATTCAAGCAATATTGTTCATTCTTTTTGGGAGGCATCTTCGATATAGTTCTGGTTTGCTTCCTCGGCGTTTTCTTTTGTTTTTTGGCTCAAGATTAGAGTTCTTATCAGGTGCATGATTTCTGATTTTCACAGTGCACATAATCTGTTTGATTAAATGTTTCAGTAAGAAAATGTTCACTATTTTGTTCATCTTTCTTGTGAATCTCTTCTGGGATATTAGTGTAATATTTGGGATATTTGGATTTAAGAATATTGATCGTCGTGGTTAGTTTGAGTTTTCTTTGGGTATTCAACAAGGTGAATTTTAGTGAAAAGTGAATGAAAGGTGCAATCTTAAAGATGGGTTTTGATTCTTGTCTCTTTGCTTCACTAAAATTCTGCTCTGTTTATCTTTATTGGGTTTGATTTTTCTGCGAATCTTGGTATGTTTGGAGAAATGAGTGTGAATTCTTGAGTTCTGGCATATACTAGTTTATGGTTATTCAAATTACGGTTTGTGCCAAACTGAGAAGTGTGATGTCTAAGAAGATTGTTCAGAAGCTTATTGAGGAGTTTGTACAGTATGTTCCCTTATCACATCCTATAATTTCAGAGTCTAACCAGCTCAGTTGTTAGCATGTATCTACTGTAAGTCCGGTTATATGTGTCTCAAAAGATGAAGTTTGAAGAAGTTGTTAATGGTAAATCCCACGAAGGGTAATTCCATGTTATGAATAGGTAGTGTTGTGAATTGGTAAAATCCACAAAGGATGACCCAGTGGACATTAGTGTAGTGTAGTGTAGTATTGGCAGAAAGCCATTAGAAATGGGCATGAAGACATTAGTACTTGAAGATTGTTGGCACGAAGCCATTAGAAGTTGAAATTTGTTGGCACGAAGCCGTTAGTAATTATTTTTGATTGTGGGCACAAAGCCAATGTTAAATGAAGTTGTTGATGGTAAATCCCACGAAGGGTAATCCCGTAAGAAATTGTTATAACCGGCATGAGGGTATGTTACAACTTTATAAGAGGCTCCTGTCAAATGCAGAGCAATATTAGACTTTTGGATGTGTGTAGCATAAGTCTTTTCTAAGATCTTGGTCTGTATGTTGTAGTGAGGCAGTGAATATATTTGGGGAAAATGGGTATCATATTTGGTCTAGACAATCACTTTCACATGTTTGAATTTGGAGGGAGTTTTCTGTAAAGGTGGAACAACACGCTTTGGGAGCTTCCTCACTCATAGTAGAGTTTGATCTCGAAAAGTTATGCTTTAAACTGGTACTCTGCAGCTTAATCTTTCATTTAGTTCTTGAAGAAGCTCAAGAAACACAATAGGGAGTAGGCAGAGAGATGGCTTCCTCACACTGCTTTGCACTCTCGTGTTCCTACTGCTTCTTGTTGGGTGTTCCGGAAGGCCAATCTATCTGCTTCCTAGTAAAGCAGCTGATCCCACCAATAGACAGCCTCTACAAACTTCTCCTCCATACAACATTGCTCATTGAGGTTCAAATGGAGAGATTCCTGAAGAAACTGCTGCTGCATACATGAAAGCTATTGAATAGGGTGCAGACTTCATTGAAACGGATATCCTATCTTTGAAAGATGGTGTTCTTATATGCTTTCATGATGTGACCCTTGATGATACAACGGATGTTGCCAAACACAAGGAATTTGCAGAATCAAGTTGGAAGGTGTTTACAACAGTAAGATCACTTGTTCTATAACTCAGATGATAATGGTTTTGATATGGAACAAGGTGATACACATGAAGATATTATGACATGGAATGAATATAAGGTGGATGAAGAGGAATTGCAATATTGCAGATGGTTCAACTATGTGTAAAGTTTTCTGGTTTCATAGTAATGATTGCAGATGTTCTTCCAATCTCAAACTGGGTTTCCCCAATTTAGATTGAGGGGGAGTATTAAGGGTACAAGTGTAATACAGTTAGAAATACAGTTAGTAATATAGTTAGTAAGGTTGTTAGAATTTCTCTTATAAAAACTGTGTGTAATCTTCATTTAGTGAGTCAATAAAAATCCTATTTCTCTCTCTACACTTTCTCTCTCTCTCTCTCTAATATCTCTGTGTTCATCTACTTTAAGCTCTCCGACATCATTTTTATCCGGAGTTAGGGTTTCTGGCATCATGACATCAACATCATCGACCTATGTCTAGTAGTTTGAGTTCCACTCTGCTTCAATGGGCACTATCTCCCGAATCTCCACCGCCTGCCATTTATCACCAGCCATCTCAATTACATTTCTCAAAATAATCATTCATAAACATTCAAAACTATTGACCAAAATTCACACAGATATTCAAATATTTTCACAATCCTTCATAAAGTTATGAACTTTTGAAATAAGGTCATACCTCTCTGCTCTTATAGACATTTCTCAAAACAAGAATTCATAAATATTCATCAAAATTCATCAAAATTCACACAGATAATCAAATACTTTAACAATCCTTCATAAAGTTAATAACTTTTGAAATAAAGTCATACCTCTCGACTCTCAGTTATGTACATCTACACTTGTCCATGGATCGGCTACTTATTCTTTGTCGATCATTGAAGAATTTTTGGGATAGCTGCCAAATCAGTCATTTACAATAGCGTAGTGGTTTCTCCAGTTGCGCAATTTTTTCGTACGCCCACACCTACATGTACATTTATTTAGTGTTCATCACAATCACAACAATTTGATCCTTATTAGTACTCAATCAAACCAACAAATTGTATCTAAAAGGCATAATTGAACCCTTTGCAGCCCCATCCGGATCTCTGCCTCCTCTTACTTGCCCTCAATTGTTCATCTTCATCATCCTCATCTCCTTCAGCATCACCATCCCCTTTTCCTCTCCCTCTCATAGCATCAGCAAAACAGAGGCTATCCTGTAGTTGTTCGAAATACCGCACCCTATGAATAAGTGTTCCATCATTCCTTAAGTCCTATAGGTTTAATCCAGTGGAATAAAATTCTAATGAAACAAAAACGATAAAAAATAAATATTATTGAACATATACATGTCTTCTATGAGGTCTAAGTACTCTAGGTTCACACCCATATTACTTTTTGCCCTTATCAACACATCCTCGGCGAAGTAAACCAGCCCTATCTTCAATGCATCATCCTCATCCTCGCATTCTTTAAACGCCCTTTGAAGCTCGGCACATGTCACTTAAACCTTTTTTGTAGCTTTCTTGGGGGCGGTCTTCACTTTACCTTTGCCTTCACACCCTTACTTTTGCTACTTTCTTAACAAAACCAAACTTCTGAGGAAAATACTTAGTCAACATCCTAATGTTGGAAGGCTCAACCTCTAGATCATAGGGTTCATCACAACGAAGCTCCATAATAAGGCAAAAGTCCTTCTTCGTGAACCCAGTGACCTCACAATCTATTAAATATATGAGTCCCTCTAGGTCCTTCACCCCTGATTTGCCACTCTATGGATCAACAATTCATGCACCTGCTGCCCACTAAAGGCTAATCTAAGCATGTGGCCTAAAAATCAGCAAGTTGTGCATCATTAAACTTGTGATGCAAGTCTCATAGTACATGACTAGCTTGAGAAAGGTTATTAACCATTCCTCTATAATATTCATCATCTTTTGTTGCGAGTTCAATCCAATGATTTGCCATCTCCTATACACATAACAATACAAGTATTCATCACAACCAAATTGAACAACATATAACCTGATAACAACCAAATACAACAATGTTTATCATTGACACAACCTATCAACAAGTTCTCATAGCTATACATACATCTATACTTTCATGAGTTAAGAAATACCAAATTAATTCATAAAATAACAAAGATTCATTGACAAAAATCATTCCCAATTGAACAATATAAATTCAACAAAACAAATTGAAGCACATATATCTTGTACACAACCTGTCAACCACATTTCATAAACCTACATCTCACCAAATTTTCCAAATACTTTCACATCAACTAATTTCATCAACCCACTTGCATATTAACCATAAACACTAAATTTGCTGTCAAATTTTACATACATAACAAAATTATTTTCTAGGGTTCCAAATTTCAAATTTAGTTTCCGGAATCAAGTTTGCTGTCAACTTTCGCGGAAGCAACGATTCTAAACCTACTCCAATCAAGGAACCACCCACTTTTTTTGTGTAAGTAGTCACCCTCAAACCAAAAGATGCATGAATGTCGAAGTGCACTGAGCCTAGAGACAACCACAACAATAATCCAATTGGGTTTCGAACGGCAACGAACTTTTCAAACGCTGCCAAAGTTTTGAATGAGCACGATGACAGGGTGAGAATGAGATTTTTGGGAGGAGAAGAAAATTTTCTAGTTTCAACGATTGCTATCGTGGGGAGGGGGGGTGAGTTTAATTCCTTGTTTTTTGAATTCTCGTGGACACCATTTTCATTAACTCATGGCCCTTTTTTTAACCTGGTTTCACACTAAGCCCTTTCTGATGGATTCATTTTCAACCGTTCAAATTTAATCCTATAGCCCACGTTCCGTCCACATGCACCGTCCTCAAACCTCTGTCTGCACCTTAGAAATCGCGACTTGGCAATTCATCAGTTTGATCTTTATGTTTTGACAACTCATCAGTTTGGTCTTTTATGTTTCAAACTCATCAGAGGTTTTTCATCTATTGCTTTGGCCATCAAAATTGTCTCTACCATCTTTTTTCTGTTAGAAAATATGTTAGTGTGATGATCTGACAATCGTGTGGAAGCACAAAGCCAATCATATGATGCCTTGTGTATTAAATAAAAAAACTCATCTTAAAAAAATTTAAAAATTAAAAAAACCATATGAAATTAAAAGTATCGTACCGCATAACAATTTATTACTTCAAAGGACTTTTGCTAAGGCATTTATGTTAAGTTCGATTCAGAATTTGAATCAAATTATTATGATTTGCACATTGTGTGGCATATTCCAGTCCCCTATTCATAAGCGTAAATGCAATGATGTATTAAAAAATAAAAAAAATATAAATAAAAACGGCCAAGTAAAGGCTACATCAGCCAAGGCTTGTACAAATCTTTGCATTTTCTGATTCGAAAGTCCCAAAAATAAGGGTTTTAATTCAGCAGGCTAGTTCAAACCTAACCAAATTCAAGTCTTTTTTATCATGTCATAATTTTGATGGAACACTTGTGTTACATATATTGTTCGGGAAGTCAGGTCCTTCATATATTACACTGTATTGCAGGTTTAAATGCTCACAAATATTCAAGGAAAAAAACAGCTCTCATAATTTACATAGGCCTTTCAGAGTGAGCACCTGGTAATTAGTTCCCAAACTTCCCAGCCAACACGAAGATGATAACTTCAACCGGAATTCGGGCAGACGTTTCCATACTACCTTATTCTTCACTATTTCCCTGAAAATCAACACAATACATGAATTTGGATGAACATAAAATACACGCCAATCAATAAATAAACTTTGTTTCTGCCATTTGAAGGTGGCATAGCTTGAACTAGAGAATCAACTTCGAGGTCGTGAATAACTTCAATAATTTGACAGCAGATATCGGTAACCTAGAGATTTAGGACAACTTGAAAAAATTCTTGTGACCAATCATCTAGTTGGAAAAAGAATAGGGAGTAACTGGAGATTAAAGACGACTATTCTGAAAGTTAAATCTTGAAGGAAACTGACAGACGAAATTTGAAGAGACATAAACTAAAGTTATCGCCTTCACTATACCCCTCCCGGAGTCGTTACCCAGACACTTTTCTAGAAAGCAGCATTTTCTGATAGTCTACAAAAGTTATTCAGGTAATCAAGGATGTTAAGGAAAAACGGTAAGTGGAAACTCAACTCAGCTGAGCATGATAATACGCTACGGGCAAAAGTGAGTCATGAGTTCCATCATTAGTAAAGGGACTTCAGCTTTGTGTAAGAGTAATCTAGTTTTCTTGAAGAACCTACAGAGACAAGCAAACAATTCGAAAAGAAAAATGATCTTGACTTAGTCTTCCAATGATAAATCAAATAAAGAGATATTAGTTAAGGTTACTGAACAAATTAAGGAAAGAGCAATTCCCCTGAACTCAGGGGAAATGGAAGCCCAATGAGCAGACAAAACCCGAACTCTGAACCATAGCTCTGCCAAACCAACACTGGCATAATCATAAAAAAACACTTCAAATAGGATGAAATTTTCGGATAAAAGATATGGAAACGGAAAGTTTATAAATTCAGTAGATATACATGATATGCAATCTAAAATACAGCATTATTTTTAAGATAATAAGCATGAAAAGAAAACACTTAATTTGTGTCTAGAAAATAATTTTGATGAGATAAAAATGATATCTTAGAATCTAATTAGCACAGAATATCCATCTGTTTATAACTTTATAGTGCATGATAAAAATAGTGTGCATGTATTTTATGTGCACTCTACATTATTTCTTAAATTAAAGCACGCTTCCTTTTCCCTAAATTGAAAAGGTATACAGACAATATGAGTATTTTCCATAAAGCATGCACACAAGTATTATTGAAACAGTGACCGAATTTTCAAATTATCTTCTGGAGCATATTAGGGTCTGATGAATGCTTCACACATATAATCCCCCCATCCACACATGCGTCCAGCAATTGTGAGCCAGGGGTAGCACCAGAGAGCTTATTACACAAGTTAGGTTTTGACCTCCGGATTTACACTTCTTGGGGCAGTTGTTTAGGCCCTCTTGATACTTTCAGCAGTTAAGCTTAAACCTGGTTTTAACTCATTTTAATTGGGGGTTTGACAAAAGGGTCAAATTTTGGCTGCAAAGAAGCAACTAGAAACTACGTTTCCTTAGATCCGAGAACTACCCTCAAAATGTAACCTTTTATGATAATTGCTAAAAATTATGAGATACTGAGAAAACAATTATATGATTAGAATACACGTAACATGAGGGAATGCCAAGTACAAATTGCCAGCACTTATTATGAAATTAAACGAAACCAAGATATTTAACGGGTTGGTATAATAGAAATAGAGAACCACCAAATAAAATAACAAGAATAAATACCTTCATTGAGGTGGAATAAGTGCAATTTCAATTTCTTGGAGGGACTTTCCTTTTGTTTCTATTACATTTCTCTTCACAAAAACAACGGCCAGTAAACAAAAAGTAGCAAAGACTGTATACAGAATTTGTGGCCCGATTTGCTCCAGCAAGGGTAAAAACAACAGACCAACAAAGAAATTTATCACCTGTTGAAGGCACAAAATTCGTTATTGAGAGATGGCATTAAAATTTAGAAGCTTAAGAGAATGAAACCTCTGTTTATAGAAGAAAGTAGCACATTCACTACAAGCAAACAGAAGCAATATCAATGAGACCTCAAATTCAACTCGCAAGAACGGATTCTTACAAGAACAGCCACCATGTAGAAAAGTATATAAATTAATTATGAACAAAGACTATAATATCCGAATCATCCACCTTCAACAAATATAATTGCAGCAAGCCATAATGATATTAGACTATCAGTATACAAACAGAGAGTTCATTCTTGCAAGGTTAATCTTTGAATTACTTCCAAATTCAAGATCACAAAACTACTTTATCAACCATGCAATGGCCCAGCCATGACAATTGTTAGGCTGGATTCCAAAGAAAAGATAATTGATCTTTTTCAATAAAAAGTTCTGTCGGATTTCAGTAGAATCCCATTAACTCTCATTTTCTAAAGCTAAATATGTTCTCACGTAATTCCAAAAATTAAGCTAGGATACTAAGACCTTCACCCCTGTTCAATATTTGTCTTGAAATTCAAAGTCTTTTACCAGCTTACAATTTTAAGTTATGTAATTAAAGATTAGAACTTGAGAAGGAATATTATTATGCAGAGATTCTAAGTCACTGTAGATGAAAAAGCATCCTACACTTTATCATTAAGGTGAAAAAGTAGTAATTGATAGTCAAATTCAATGTACATGGTGGGTCGTCAAAATTTTATTCGGATAAAGGGGGTGGACTGTGGAGGGGCTGTTTACACTAAATCGTAGGATGTTTTAGACTGACTGCCCCTGCAGCCATGACAACGTGTTAATACCAAAATCTTGCTTTCATAGACTGAAATTGATCATCAAGTAGCAAAGTTTTATCGGATATCATGTTCATAAAACTATGTTTGGTATGAGTAGGATAAGTCATCAGTCAGCTCCCACAGTGGAGAAAATAAAAGGTGCAATGAGTCATATCTTGAAGAACTATAGAAGACAATTACCCAATGCACGGCCATGCAAACTGCCATTGCTTTTGCCCTAATACGGCTAGGAAGAATTTCTGAAAGGAGGAGACCAGGCACTGGACCGGCTCCAAGAGCAAACATCAACACAAACCTGCAAAAACCATTTCATAATCTAGATTATCATAACAACCAACACCCAAATCTTCAGTGCATATTTGCTTTATAATCTCAAAGTCATTAAATATTGGCATGTGGAAGTATAGATACGCATGCACAATGCATTAAAGTAAAAAATCTATGCAGAAATGGCGCATCGCATTATAATGTTATATTCACTCAATTGTGTCAAAGTTTTACAGCATCATTAGGCAAGAATTGGGTTTAAATATAGAAAAAGAAAGAAACCAGAATGGCTAACTAAAATGAATTCACTTATACCCTATTAATTATCCCAGTGCAAGACCCATTTAAAATTCCAAAACTATTCAAGGATCTGTCTTATTCTAACAGCATTTTTTTTCGTTATTTTATCTTATACTTATAATAACATAGCTTTTCTCTATCTATAAACAAGACTGAAGCTGATATACTACTCACAGCAGCATGCCGCCAACAGATAGACTCAATGCTCCAGATCCCGACGTATAAGAACTTGCTCCAGTTACTTGAAGACCCATTGCCACTGCCTAAATCAAGAAATGCATAAAAGGTTAGATAAGATATCATACTGTCTACTTGATGCAAACAAAAAGGAGAGAACCTCAGTTGGACCACATGGAATATGGGTACCACTGATTCCATAAAACAGACTTAACTAACATTCAATATTTTAGCTCAAAAGTTTGCATCAAATATTCAGAGTATTTTAGGAGCTTACCATGCCAGAAAAGCTTCCAAGAAGAAGTACCTTTCTTCCAAGCTTATCCATCAGGATCATTGCAAGAATTGACCCTAGAATAGTATAAAGAGATGGACCAAAAAATAAGAAGCATAGTAATAAGGAAACATATAAGCAAATCTCAAATATGGACAAATAAGATACTTGAGAATAAACCCAACCATACCCGATAGATTTGCAATTCCAACACATGTGTTTGCCAGATCTGAAGGCACCCCAAAGCTTTTAAAGACAGTTGAAGAGAAATAGAACACAGCATTTATGCCTGACAGCTGTTGTAAAGCAAAAATGGTAGACCCAATGAAAACCACTGCAAAATATGGAGGCGATAAGGTAATCATGCAGAAGGAAGCATGTAAATGTCAATCCTGAACAACTCATATACTAAGGAGTTGAAAATATACTTTTGAAATGTCGGCCATACAGTAGCTCTGAAAACTTTACTGTCTCTAGTTCATCCCCCCTGTCAGACTTTGACAGTTCTGCCATTGCAAATTTAACATGTGCTGCTCCTAAAAGTTTCTCAAATTCAGCTTCAGCTTCAGTACCTCTTCCTCTCTGAACCAATTCAAAAACAACTGTTAGCATCAATATTGATAAGTAGCCTTCAATGGGTCAAATATAAAATGAAGCATACTCATACCAAGTACTGTAAGGTGAGTAACTGATGAAAGTTCTTATAATCCTTGGATAATATCACCCAAAAGGCATGTATACATATGGGAGAAAAGAACCAGCTAAAAGAACAAAGAGACGCCAGTTGCCCCAAGGAGTAATAATGAGCACTAACATCACCCATTTGCAATACAAAGAGAAAATGAACCTTTTCTCTACTGGCTACAACAGAGAGAAAGAAAGAAAGACAAAAGAAGAAAGTGAGAGAACAAATTTCAAATCCTCCTTTGAGCCAGAACTGGACAATGAAGCACAATTACTAATCCAGATCATTGCAGATTTATATATATGGTATGTGCATTATACTACACAACAGGTACGTTTATACCGAAATATACATAATATTATATATAAGTAATAATATGTTAATACCTTAGATGCCTGAAATTAATAAGAAGCCAATTTCACTAAAGCTGCATAGAGCTCAACCAATTCAAGAATCAAGACCACATATAGGACAGTTTATATTGAGTACAAACACGAGAACTAACTTGACCAAATGTTTTAAAGGTCGATGATTAAGGAATGAGAGCACATAACCTTGAAAAGCCACTGAGGACTCTCTGCACAGAACTCCATGCAAACAGCTAGCACAGCAGCAGGAACAGTAGATACCCAAAAACAAACTCGCCACCTAAGCATCAACGGTGTTGATAGAAAATAGTATTCATTAGATAACTGTTCGAAAATAAAGAAGATGCCTAACATAAGAAAAAATGGATCAAAACTTGAAATGAAAAGTCTTCAGGATTTTTCCATGACCCCATAAGAATATCTTACCAACCCACTATATCCTTGGCAGGGAGTCCAATAAAGAGAGACCCCATAAGTCCAAGACACGTAGAAATTTGTGTGAAGCTCCCAAAAGTACCCCTTACAAAAGCTGGTGAAATCTGCTCATGTAAACAAAGCATACTTAAACATTTAATAAGATATGATGCAAACTAAGCAAAGTCAACTAACAGTTGCAGAGAAAACAACAAATTTAGTTTCTTATATACCTCTGACACATAGATAGCAGCAACAGGTGGGCCAATTCCCATCCCAGTTCCAACGAATATCCTCCCTAGAAGCATGCCCCATAGACTTTTGGTTGTTGCACTGCAAATTCACATACAAAATTATTTAGTATGACTCATATGGTTTACTACATGTGGAGTTTGTGACGTTGACCTTTTCTCTTATTGTAATGGATGTAAAAAAAAAAGTAAACGAATTTCTAATTTTGGCAAGGGAATGCTTCTATTTATCAGGAAAACTTTGAGTGAGAGGCATAAGAAGGAAAAACGTGCGAGTTTGGATCATGTAAAAGGTGAGCATAAGTACTTGACAACTTCATTCTCAGTATTTTGTATAAGGTTTAGGGTTTAGAGCCCTCATAAACATAAGAACAGTTGAAGCAAGGTACTTAATTGTTTATCTGGAAACCTTAGAGTGCAAGAAATAATAGGGACAAGCATGAAAATCTTTGATCATGAAAATGGGGTCATTGACTCATTAGTAATTCTTGATCTTTAATTTGTCCATGTTCAATTTTCTCTTTGCACAATTTTAGTGTGACTCTTCCATTTAAGTTCTTAACATTTCTCAGTTGGTCACACAGTCACACTTACTTTTTATTTTAAGTGCACATGATTGATATTATGATAACAGTGATACCTCATTGATGCACCGATTATCATCGGCAATGCACACATCTGGAATGCCCTTCGATGCCCCACTCCATCTAGAATCCAACCACTAAATACAGATCCAACAAAAGCACCACCTAAACATGTACTCACGACTAGACCTTCATTGAAATAGAAACAATATCACGTCAAATAATGAAATACTTTTAGCTGAGAAAAGATCTGATATCCAATAACACTTATTACCCTTTGCCAAAGGATTCCCACTGAAGCCAAGGTCCAAAGAAATGCTATCTAGTGTCTCGTTAACCACTCTGCATTAGCAAAACCAACAAAGAGTATACCATTCAAGTTAGAAAGACATATCAATCAGAAAGAGGGAAAAAAAAATTCTGAGTTTTTCAGGAGTAGGGATGTCACCCGAGATGGTAGCCATATAGGAACGAAGAAAGAGCTGCCACAAGCATATGCGGCAAGGAGCGCTTCCATGAAGGGTTTCCAATACCTTTTCCATTCACTAAACCTACTAAAACCCATACAAGGAATCAGCCACAAACGCATGTACCATTTACAAAACCAAATTATCTAAGACTGCTTTCAAAATTTATTAAAATCTCATTTCAATGAAACTTCTAAAGAATTATGTACAAACCATGTAGGAATTTCCAATCCGGACCAAAGAGAGAAAACGGTAAAGCAATGTAGCACCCCGGACATAGAAAAAACTAAACATAAAAAACTGTGACAGAGCAATCCGTGAGTACCTGCACTTTCTTCTCTGTCATAAGCATTGATATGGTCCTTGGACGCCACACGCTTGTATGCCGAGTAGGCATCGACATGACGACCCCGCATAGCAAAATTATAGAAGCCTTGTCCAAAATTTAACACAGAAAATTGTGCAGCCGACTGCAACCACCAGACAAAACTGACCAATTAAATTTCTAACTAATTCATCATTTTTTACCTCATATATTGCTAAGTGCTAACCAATCTGGAAAACCAAGAGCCGCATTGCCAAATTAACACACAAATCACAGTACAAAGTACGAACATGAGTGATAGAATATCCGATCCGGTACATCACGGACTATAACTTCAAATTTGCACCATCCATTCATCATACAACAAGCATACGACATCCACATCAAACACACACACACACACACATATATATATGCATGCAAATGTGAGAAATTATGATCAAACGCAGGAGAGATCTTGCTACAAACGAAGAAAATTGAGCTTCACATGCGAAACGGTAGCGTTTCGGATGTCACAGTAATGGGAAACCAGAAAACTCACCATTTTCTCAAATAAATAAATAAGAAAAAGTAGAGCAGAGAGAACTTTCAGCTGCAGACAGGATTTTCTAGGATTCTGGTGAATCCAACTGTGAGCTATAAAATGCAAATATACATAGATATACACATGCATGATGCATTTACATAAGACAGACAGAGAAATTGAGTACCTGTGTAAAATGCGGAGGTGGAAAACGATCTGACAGCGAGAGGGGAGAGAGAGAGATTGAAGAAGACGTCGGAGGAGGAGGCGGAGGTGATGGAGGAGACTAAACTCCGCCGGTGGGAGGTGAGAGGAGAAGCAGAGGCACTGGTTATGCGTCAGTGTCAGCTTTGCAACTCAAGACAAGGAAGTCTGAAAGCGAGCTTTTCGAAACCGTCCCCTGTATATTCGGAGAGATTAGAGGGGAAAAATTTCTCGATAGAGAGAGCGAGGGGACACGCGGCCCAATGCTAATGCACGCTTGGGGTGTACGTGTCAAGTGCATTTATATATTCGTAAAAAGAAGAAAACTACTGAAAACCACGATTATTTACTTCTTCCAGACTTGAATAGGTTATGGAGAATTTTAATCTATCATTGATCACAGGTTAGCAGATTCGTCAACTTAGAACATTGAAACCGAAACCTCTTGTATTTTATTATTTATTAGAGAGTCGCAATCAACACTTTTACTATGGATCACTTGCTGTGTTTATAAACTTTAATTTAACAATTGCTAGAGCGGAGTTTTGTAACTTTTAAACATGCAAGGTCTAAGAAAGCAACGTTTTTATAAAAGGAAAACTAACTAAAAAAGTTTGAAAACTTTGAATTTTAACAATAAGGACAAAATAAAAGGTAAAGTAAATAGTACCATGATTGATTTTTTTAGTGTAAAAATAAATAAAAGGTAAACTTTGAGTTTTTCGTTAAAGTTGCTTTTTATAAACCCTTAATTTAATTAATTTCTAAGTTTCAGTTGAACCGCACATGGTATCGCTGGTTTGGCTATTACGCAAAGAGAGATTTACCAATGAAAGCTCGTGAGATCAACACCTCTGCTGTGCGGGTCATATGGATCTTGTGTATCGCAGGTAACAGACAAATCTAGTTTGACCAATAGCATGTCGACGCTTCACACAAGCAACCAACTACCGAAGTACTAATTCTTCATTACTGACTTGAACAATAGAGAGCTTGGTTATTCAATTATTTCAATTTTCATGGTTGATGGAGCAAAAACAAAGGCTCGACAACTTGTACTTCTGTTTATGAGTTTATCGTACATGAGTAGTTTTGGGAGATGTGATTTCAAGGTGCTTGTACGAAGTTGGGTACAAAGTTTTTTAAAATTGAGGAAAATTAATGAAAATGAGTTTTAACGATAAGAACAAAATAAAGGGTAAAGTAAATAGTACCACGATTAATTTTTTAATGTAAAAATATGGTTTTTCGTGAAAGTGAACAGTACCGAGAGTTTTTTCGTTAAAGTTCTGTTAAAATTGTTCATGGTAGATACGTGAGAAAATAGTAAATATGAATTTGACTCATGATCATCACTAAAGAATTAGTTTAGTTTTAACGTTATTTCAAGAACAGAAGTATTGAAGTCCAAATTGGAAGAATGTTAGAACTCTATTTAGGACATTAACTAATTATGATAAGGTTATTATAAGGTTGTTTAAATTAATTAGAGTCGTTATCCTTCAAAGAAGGACATTGAGGTTGGCATGCTAGAGTAGTCTACGATAGCTGGGATGTTGATTGATGTAGTTATTGAAAATGTGCCCATATGGGAATACTTTTAGACTCACTCTAGTGATGGACAAAGACTTTGGGTGGTTGGTATGTTGCAATAATAATATTACTTATTTATATATTTTTTTTTGGATCAACAACTATTATTATTACGTGGTTGGCATCTCCAAATCATAACATGCCAATGTGCATTGCTGCACATAAACTTAGTTGATAGTTACTTTTGTTTTCAAATAAACTAAAAGCTACTTTTTAAATTTTCAAAATTTGACTTTCAATTTTCACATATTTTTTGGAACGAAAAGCTAAAAGTTATTACCCGACAAGTTTGAGTTTTCCAAAAATGTAAACCAAACAAAATAATTATCTGAAAATTGTGATGAGAAAGATTTTACATGCTTTTGTAGCGGGCCAAACTTGACAACTCAATTAACGTGACGGGATCATTTTTCAAAAGGCCCAAACTCACACGGACATGGGATGGGAGCTCAAACTTTTGCTTGAGGAAAAGCATAAATGCTAGGTGTAGGTGGGAATAAACAGCCGGAAAATACTAGGAAGTTCGTGCGACACAACTATGCCTACGCCATAGCTAAAAAGGGGATAAAAAATAAATGTGAATTCATATTATTTGTAGGTAAAACACAGTAACACAAAACTTCTGACAGCAGAATTCGTGCTATACAACAATTCCCCCTGTTGAATTACATTCATGTTTTACTTACAAGCGCGGTTGGGTAATACCATTTCAGTTGTTGCTACCAAACTCTTAGACCAAAACAAAGTTTAGGAGACCCGGAACCCGCGAATACATCTTTGAACAGACAATTCCATTCCCATTTTTACCCATTGTGTATTGTATATACCATGAAGATCATGAATTGGTAGACGAGCACTATAACATACCGGCTAGGCTCCAACCGATGAACTCATTATCTGGATCTGTAGATATACGTGGCCATATATAGTTGCGTAACGTTAGAGACGGAAAATCATGAGTTTTTTAGGTGGAGAAAAATTGGACTTCAATGTGCAAAATATTACCTTGTTGACAAGCAAGTTCACTTGCTCTCTGTACATCTCCTTCAAGTCCACAATATCCGCACGAAGCTCCTCCAGCTACACATGCAGCCACTTTAAAATCAGGACTAGCCGTAGAGTCAATTTTCATGCTCCCCAAATTAAAAGTAGATAAACAGAATGATTGGAAAATGATAATTAAGGAATGGGAATAGGGAAATCTTCACTTTGGTGCAACTAGTCATACATCGTTAAGGAAAATGGTTCATGTGGACTGTTATCGAATATTTCAAATAATAAAAATTGAAAGGGGTTTCTCTCGACAAAGAAAATAGCATACAAACAAATACGATGGTAGATTAAATAAAGCCTCCATCTATCCAATCTAAACCTTTTTTTTTCTTTTCGTTCTCCAAGTTATACAGCACAAGTCTCGACTCAATTAAGTTTGTCAAAGGAGGCTACGTTAACTTCTCTGTTTAATAAAATGTTAGAGAGTAAAACAGAAGCAGCATAAGTAGGAATAGATTATAAGTGAACAGAAAAAACCGACTAGAGCTAAAATTTAGCACTCTCAGACTCACGCTGTCTCTCTTCTAGTTACCATCCAACCTATAAACATTGAAAACGAGAGAGAGAGAGAGAGAGAGAGAGAGAGAGAGAGAATGGCTATATAATATGATTATATATACACACACACATACATTAATCATATTACAGCACCACAGGAGACCAATAAACTGCTTCCCTATTCATTCTCCATGCCAATACAGTAACTTTGGAAGGCAGAGAGGTGTCCATTGAATATCACTGATCTACAGTTTTAGGGAAGCTAAATGATAATAATAACAGTTTATAAACTGAAAAAACTACATGTGAATTGGTTTTATGACACCAACTTTTTATGGCTTATGTATGACTCCTTATCTAAACATTAGGAATTCAGAGTTCTATCACCTAGGAGTTTTGGATCACTAAATCCACATCATAATTCAGGAAATTCAGCTGCTGCTATATTGGATAGAGCTAACACCTCAAGAAAGCTTATTAACCCGTCAATGCACACATTAGCTACATTTTCAAGTTTTAAAGGAATTTTAACGAGGGCTAAAGGCTGAGCATCAAAATTTATAGGTAAAAAAATTGAAACTTAATTGTACCTCCTCATCGCGTTCGCCCATTAGCTCCAATGCAGCAGAGTGCCGTCTCCTTAGTGCCTCTAGCTCTGCTCGCATACCAGGCAGCATGCCAGCCTCTGCCCGTAACTTTTCACACTGCAGCAACATAATCAATCTCAAGCTCAGTTACAAGCAAGAAACCTCCACACAATATTTATTACAGATTCAAACTCACCTGTTCTGTCATTTTGACTAACTCCTCAGCAAGAGAATCACGAATAGATTCCATGGATGCCTGAAGTAACATTGATGAAAAACGTATTAGACAAAAGCACAGTAATAAACATTTTCTAGGGAACTTAAGAGTCCATGCTAGTTCATTTGGTATTTTGTTTTTTTAAGGTGTAAAGCCTAAATTGATCTGGAATATTAGTTATAATAGCAAACAATACTATAAATGCGATGTAGTTTTCAGTGGCATTATTGTATATGAAGAGCTTGGAAATTAATACGCACCAAACGAGACATGTAAGATGCAAGTTCACCGTCCTTTTGACGAAGAGAAGCTTCAAAAGCACTAGGTGTCATACTCTTCATATAGTACGGACTCATAGTTGCCTCTCCAGCATTTCTCCTCTCAGAGAAACCATCGGATGAGTCCAAAGATGCTTGCAGAAAATAGCTTTCCTCCATGCTCCCCAGGCTGCTAGCACTTGAGAGTTTTCGGCTCAAGCTTCCTGTAAAACGTTACAAAATTATACCATAGCCAACAGACAATTGACAGATGTAACATAATTTACACAAACCAAAGCATCACACCATTCTCTAGAGCCGAATTGTGCCTTGTTATAGTAGTCTGTTCAGATACAGTAGCAGAGTGGACGCGAGCTGTCTTTTCCAACTCTAACTTAGCAGCTTTCTCCCTTTCTACCTCCTGTCAAAATCAAAAGCCTAAGTCAGGAAAGCTAATGATCACTAATATTGTATACTGAATAAGGAACTCAATTTTGTATGCTCATATAAGTTTTAGATCAACGGCTTTTGTCTATATAGCATGAATAACTTCTTTGCTGCATCTAATATGAAATACTAATCATAATTTGTAAACAAAAAGAAAATACTAATAGTAATAATAATAGACTACTTCTAACACTATCAGATAAAGTTCCTGTTTCTTACTGCCTTTTTATTTTAGTGGATTCTGTTTCTTACTTTAAAGAACAAAAGATTGTGACTGATGAAAGGAATCAATCAAACTGAAACAATGGGAGTTTGCATGTAACATGAAATACTAATCATAACTTAGTAACCGAAAAGAGAATAGTAATAACAATAGACTACGTCTAACGCTATCAGGAGAAGTTCCTGTTTCTTAATGCCTTTTTTTTTAATGGATGCTGTTTCTTACTGTCAAGATCAAAAGATTGCGACCTAGGAGAGGAATCCATCAAACCGAAACAATGAGAGTTCTGTAAACAATTTAAGCACATCCATTCAACAATTTCCTTTCAGTTGCCTT